GGTGTACTGCAGTACCTTGAGACACTTTGTCAGTCCAAGCCTTTCTAGGATGCATTCTGGTGTTGACCCTAGCAAGACGAGGCTCTGTTATCAACCCTATGTACAGCCCTACAATGCCCTACAACCCTGATAAACCCTATCAACCTTGCCTGATGCCTGGACCAAAGGGTCGAAAACAACTCCTTCAGAAACCAAACCTGAGTTTAAACCCTATACACAGCCCGAAAACCCTAAACCCCTGAACCCTACAGCCCTTATCATGCTTATAGGGTTTCATGACACTCACCCGTGGGTTTCTGTCGATCTTGCTTGAGCCTGATCTCCTTCATGCCTACATAACTACATATTCCCTACAAACATTAAATCCTCTCAGAGCACTTGGGATGGCCAGGTGTATCGGGGTCGTGCACGATGTATATATACTTAACTTCAAATGGTATCCATAGGGCTGTACATGTATAGGGCCAAATAATAGGGGTATATGGGGCTCATGGTGTTTAATTATAAGGCTTCTCATGTAGAAAAAATTAAGTATAAATGCAATACATATATTCATATATAGAGACAGAGAGATACATAGATATGCATAAAACAAATCGATAGATAGGGCCGATAAAGGGTTCAGAGTGTCAAGAACCAAAAGCTTCTTCCCAGATCCATCCTTTACCCCACAAACGCACTTGACATATAGGAGTCGTAGCGAACCCAGACACAAACTGGTATTGCTTGTTTGGGGATTGATAGGGTTCTTGCAGTCTTCCTACATATAGGCCAGGAAATTGTTATTGTTGTATGTTTCTGCTCGTTCTGTGGTCCTGGTCTTTGTCCCACCTTAGTCTACTTTGGGGTTTGTACACACTAGGATCGAGGCTTGGAGCAATGCAGGGTTGCCTATATAGGGCCACTATTAATAGGAGGTACATTGCTTAGGACCGACAAGATGGTTTATATATTGCTCAATTACCTAGCTGGTTTCTAGGGTTTTTGTCTTCGATCGAAGAGTTCCAAGCTTGGTTAGGCTTTGTGGCTTTTGGGCCAGGAAGGTTTGGGATGGTCTGGGGCTTCTCCAACATACATACCTATATGCTTTTATACATATATACATACATGCAACTCTATAAACCCTAAAACCCTACACTCTGATTGAATCCTTATAAACCCCAAACCCGAAACCTTCACAGCCCGAAATCCTCAGCAACCAAAACCCGAGACCTCCCAATCCTT